AATCCTAAAGAATGACCCCTGAAATTGAATTATCAGCCAATACTGAAATTGAGTTTTCAATGTGCAATGAGTAACAAGATTCAGATTCCTGATTTAGGGCACTCACTCTATTGATAAAATATGCTGCAAAGCCTGAAAAGGCTATCAGGAGTATGATGATGGGAACAAAAAGGATCATTAGTTCACCCACACATCATTCCAAGCTGAATGACAGGTTAACACACTTGAAAGAACAGGCAAAACAGGAAAATCTTGTTATGAATTAGGATGAAAGCACTTTGAAGATATAAAGGTTGTTTGCATCAAAATTGAAACAAAGTGGCAAGAAGACTCAGACACCTATTTCAGTTAAGAGCAAATTGTACTTGTTGGGACAGGATAAATTTCAAAATATTGGCCAGGACACTATCTAGTCTTAACTATGGCTATAACAGTGTAAGATAGAAAAGATATGTGAATAAAGATAACAATACAAGCTGAAAGCAGGAACTCCTGAAAAACTCACTGAAATCCCCACACTAGGGAGAAGCAGACATGACATACTGATGATGCTGATAATTCATGTCTAATCAACATAGGGTTCTACGGTTGAGAGTTTGAAATGTAACTACATTATTTTGCAGCAATGATGTATAGGTGATACTCACCACTCTGCAACAAGCAGCCATAAAAAATCAGATAGGAGTTTGATATTTCACCCCTTTTCTCCACTCATCTATGACCTTCCACATCCACTCAGTACACACACAGAGTTCTTCAAATTTTAAAACCAATACAAATCTAGGTGACTAACAGTCTATCACTGAGATACAGCTACCTTAGATGGAGGGATAAAAAGTAATAAAAGGATAATAGAAGCTCTCTCCCCCTTTTAGAAATGTTTCAGAGTAAGAGAGTGAACCACACTGCTGCTTTAGACAATCACAGTACATAAAAATTTATGGTTTTTAAATGAGCATATAAAACATCTAAAAAAAAAGGATCAATATCTGTTACCAAGCCTTCCAGTTTCTAAGGTGATTAGACACTGCTGGTTGTTAAAATTAATATTTCTCATGCACTAGTTTTTGGTTAGTTTTCCAAGTGGTAAAGTTCTACAAAAATATAATTGTTTCCTAATGAACAAAGTAGGTTATAATTTCTAAAACTTCCAGAGAGAGCCCAGTACAGGACCTAGACAAAAGAAACAGGCTGGGATTTTTGTTTTACCCGGTCTAAAACTTTTCCTATTTTACTGGTCAGAATACATATTCATTCACTTCTTTATTCTCTCAAAAAGTAAATTATTTGGTTGTAATAACATTGGGATGTTTCCCTTGTCTCTTCATTAGCATCAGCTCACAGAAATACAGTTACACATAATATTTCTAAGCGTTGGAGTGTCCTGCAGGTACAAACACTGTGTACAATTCCCAGGGATCAACAGCTCTTCAAGGAGACCTGGATCTTCAGCATTGCAAAGATGGGCATATGGTCAGTCATAGAGATACAAACACATTATTCTGCTAGTCTCCTTTTTGCTGTATATACCATCCTGGGCATGGAACACACTTCCTTTTGAGAAATCACGTTGTAAAATGGGATCAAAGGATGCCACAGCATGCAATGTTGTGACATACTGCACATAACAGCAGTACTGTCACTCGAAGAGAAACATTCATAATATAATAATCACAACTACCCCATCTACTTTGGCAAAGGTATTAAAAGTGAAAAGGGAATGGCCCATGAAAACAAAAATACACCACTGTACCCATTTGAAAAAGACATCACACACAGGCCCACAAGCAAGGGGTCAAAAAAAGCCAAAGTTGGGCAGTAAAGCACAAAGATACAATAAAATACTGTTTAAATAACATAAAGATAATACACTCCCTAACTAGTAGAAAACATGAGAGATGTTTTAGACTTAATGTATAATCAAATTAATAAAATGCTAAGTATTCAGGTTCTCCTTCTACATAGACATAAATGATTTTTACTGGTTTTGTTTGTCCTCTGGAAATGAATCACTGATGTTTTCACCTAAAGTGTTCACTACTGGCTATGCATACAGACACCTACAGTTTATGTCATCCCCTGCAACCCACACAAAGGTGATCCCAAGCATAACTATTGTCTCTTAAACCTGTGCAGTGGTAACATACTGAAAACTGCAGTTTTCCTCTGCAATTTTGACAGATATGTAGTTTACACAAAAGTTACTATATCAAAAGTTCTTTCCTACTCTGGTGTTGAAATCACCAAGGATAACGATCTTATCATCTGCAGAAACCTTTTGGGTAAGGCGGCGCACGTCGGTGTAAAATTTATCTTTTTCAGCAGGGTCAGCTTGGAGAGTCGGGGCATATATACTAAAGAGGACAACATGTTGCTTGTTGTGTAGTGGAAAGTGTAGGGAGATAATGTGGTCAGAGTGACCTGTTGGCAGATTTTCGAGTTTAGGAACGATGAAGTTTCTGACTGTGGAGCCAACTCCTGAAAGATGACTTTTGGTTCTGGGTTTACCTGACCAAAAGAGTGTGTAACCGGCACCATGTTCTCTAAGGCTGCCTTCTTCGTGAAGACCCATTTCACTGAGAGCAGCAATGTCGATGTTGAGACGTGATAGTTCGTGGGCAATTAGGACAGAGTGACACTCAGGACGTCCGCTATCTGCAGAATCGAGCATGGTTCTGATGTTCCAGCATGCTAGAGTTAATTTAGGTACACCTTTGGAGGCAGGTGTAGGCCTTTGTCTTTTGATCTTTGTGCAACCACATTGGAAGAAGATGCCTGTTGGCCTGCAGTTAACCAACCGGGTGAAGGGGGAGATGAGCTTTGGTTAGGCCTTCTTTTCTAGGCCCCTCTATGAGAGAAGCAAGCAGTGCTCTCCTTGAAAAAGCCTGCTTGGTCATTCAGGATGCTGCCAAACGAGACTGTCATCTCCAGTCAGTCTCAAATGACCGATATCCTGAACCGCCTGCATGCAGGGTTGGGTCTGCGGCTTCCAGAGCACCTTTCACCTGCTGTTTCGACCCTCGCCCGTGGCTACAGGGCTTTGCAAATGTGGGTAGAAAACCTTCCAGCCTGCGCAGTGGATTTTTTAGGTGAGATGCAGTATGCGCGGAACTGAACCCACCCTTTAATCCTGAGGTTCATCTGCCAGGGCCGAGTAAGCTTGGACGGTGGCAGTGAGGTCCTCAGGACGTAGGTTTGATTAGAGTGACCTTCTCTTAGATGGATGGCCTTACAGGGCTAAACGTAAACATAACTGGTCTACGCTGGCCTCCAATCGGGAGGTCTGGAGACACGCTATCTTTAACGCTGCTGGTGCTTTTGAGAAAGCACGCAGGATCACTCTTGAGGAGAAAAGACAACGCAGAAAGAATCGTGTCTTGCAGAATATACCACCTAAGGAGTCTTTCTGCTGTGCCTTTTGCAACCGGACACGTCTATCTCATATTGGCCTTTTTAGCCACCAGCGCGCTTGTAACAAACATGGGTAGAGCCCTTCCCAAATCTTCGTTCACGAAGCCCAGCCATGATGATGACTATATCAAAACATCATCTCAAACCAGGCTATTGGTAGTCAGAACTACAGAAGATATGAACGGGTTAGCTGTTAAATTCTACAGTTTATCAATATGGCCTTGCTCCTTTGCTGCCTTACAATGCCTTTTACAAAGGTCAGTACCTCACAAATTGCACATCCATCTGCTACTGAACCTCTATCTCAACACATTTGTCTGCTCCTTGCTGGTATAATGCCTCATGTAAACTATGTCTACACCTCTCTACTTGCCTTCTCCCTGTTCCAGCTACACCGTTCATTGGTGAAGGACACGTGTTTCCTCTCTACTGCCAGTTTTCAGGAACAGTTTCACCAAGAAAACTTTCCAATACAGTCAAACCACCCTTTGTCAATCAGCCAACTCCAGTACTGCACCACAGAGAACCATATATTTCTGTAGGAAGCACATTCAGCAGAACATCAGGCTAAGGTGGTTGACAATATTTGGCAATCAAAGCCTGGGATGTGTGTGCTGCTTTGCAGCCTCTGTCCAGGTTAAAAAGCAGGAGCTGTTCCATACCTGCTCCTGTGCACAAGGAAACATTTTGTGAATCTATGTTTATGCAGATGTGAATTACAATTAGGTTTGCCAGACATATCAGTTGACACTTTGGTTGTGGTTGAGCTGAGGCACCATCAGAATTTAAAATCTGAAAGGAAAGAGCTGCTTTAGGAGACAAACACATTTATTGTCTTCATTACTTGGAATAAAATACTGTTTGATACCTTGTCTGGTGCCACAGGAAAGCACTATTGATACGCTATCTTATCTTTTTCAGATCCCTTCCACCATCCTCAAGAGCAAACAGATGGCTAACTACAATGAGTAGGTTCCACCCACACACAAATTCAAAGGAAAACAAAGAACTACTCACTTTACAGTCACTGCTTCTCTCTGAACTGTTCCATGCCTGAGGATGTCAGTTTACCTTCCGCTTCCCCCTGGCAGAGTACAGTTCTGGTCTTCCCTGAGCTCTGAATGGCAGCTGGGTGCACATTGTTCTTCACAGTTCATGATAAAGTAAAAGCAGAGGCTATACACAGCCCTGTGGCCCTTCATGAATGCAAAAAGTACTCCAGGCTTCTACATGCAAGGCACAGAAACACACATCCTGACCCACATGCAACAGCTTGAAGAGCAAGTTATCTCTACTGCTTCCTAGTACCCAACTGCCTTTCACAATCCTGAAGTGAGCTATTGGCTTTGTTTAATTCAATTAGATTTCTTATATCTACAGACAGAAAAAAAATAGTATTTTTGTGTACAATATTCCTCTTAGCACTAAAAAAACATTACAGAGGTTCACATCAACAAATAGGAATGCAATCAATGACAAACCCAAAATACTTCAGAATAATATTACATTACAGTACATCTAGTAGCTTAGTAAAACACAGTACACACAGACTAGGAAACATTCTAAAATAGAAAAAAGATTTCCTTTACCTTAGAAGTCCTTATATCCCAAGCTTTAACTTCTGGGCTGAACCCTCCACAAAGGAAAATATTTGACTCTGTAGGGTGAAACTTGAGCGCACTGATCCTAAACTCTGTTTTGCTGCTAAATATCTGCTTCCCTAAAATAAAGGGAAAAGTGGAGATTAAAATTTGAGCAGAAAATGAAATATGTTATTCATTTCGATTTAGTTTGAAAAATATCAAGGTTGTCAAAGGTGAACATGCTTATATTAACACATTTCAAGTATCTGGGGCTACTCTAACTTAATGATAATAGAAGACAACTCACTAATTTCTGTCCACATGAGACGGCTTTTGCTTATGGGCCTCTGCACCACTGACTGCTTCCTACTGAAAGGAGAGAACGAGTGGTTTCCCACACTAAGGAGAGGAGTTCCACCAAGGTCCCAGTTCAGACAACATGCAGGAATAAATCTACAAATCCAATGGCTGAATGTTTCCTTACAGAGATGACAGTCTTTGTTTCAGTGAGACAAAAATAACTAGAACAAAACATTGCCTGTACAGAAACACCACATCTCAATCTATATTACAATTCTTGAGTTGTTTACTTATCTTTGTGTAAAGGCAGGACTGAAACTTCATCACGAAAGTAGGAAATAATTTGCATACCATCATATGAAGGTTGTTCCCATGGATACACTGTTCACAACATTTAATTGTGTACACTAATCTCCACAGGATCCTGTGGTTGGTATCAAATGGATTGTCAACACTTTTGAAGGCAGCAGAATTCGGCTAGGTTATTTTATAGAACTTTTCCACAGTCCACTGCTTCCTTTCATCCTAACAAATTCATTATATTAATGTACACTCACTGAAATAAATTTTTGGAACAGCAGCAGGGACCAAGATAAATATATCTGCTCATTTTCACAATATCAACTGTGATTTATATTCTACATATCACATTTAAAGATCTACATTAAATAAAGTTACTGCTTTAAGCCACATGAGGTGCAAAAGTAAAAAAAAAAAAGAAAAAATCCTTTAAAATACTATGACAAAAGCTTCTTAAAATATACTTTAATCTACATTTTTTGCAAGTGATGGGTGTCTTAAAATAGGCTTTCTTAAACAACAGAAAATACTTTCAGCTAAAAACATTACTGACAGATGTAAATACTTACTGTTAGGTGTACAATACTGAAAATCATTCATATAGATTTTTTATGCTTATTTCATGATCTGGGGCCAATTTATTTTACTTCATCACCAGTTCCATTTTCTCCATCTGCAGAACTCAGTTTACACAGTCAAGAGGCTAAAACTTGTCAAATTATTTATTTATTCAGTTTAAAGATGAGAAGAAAAAGATTTTACTTCATCTCATGTGCTCATCAAGCTAACAGTGGCAAGGCAGAGGTGAGTGTTTTTGTATGTGAATACTGGTATTTGCAGGGGATTTTTGTCCTTTTAAAAATGATTCTCCACTGATTGCCCATGCAAGATGTAAAGAGTCGCTCTGTCACTACTAAGTGAAACACTTCATTTAGCCCATAAGTTTCTTCCCCAAAATGAGAAAAGAAGTCATAAGGGCAGCAGAGGTTCTCTCAACAAGTCATATCTAACAGTGACCATCTCTTGCCATGGGAGCTTTCAGTTGCCCAACAGCTAAAGGGGAAAAAAAAGACTCCACAGGGAAAGAAGAAAGTATTAAAATCATCAGTTATAGAAACAACAAGATATTGCTCTCATGTACACCACTATCAGGTGTCATTTGTGGGGGCTTTAGAAAAGCCACTCTCATCCACAGCACTTGAGAAAATACTGAATTTCCCCATGGAGGCTCACTAGTCAGTTTAATAGCATTTTGCTCCCAAAGGAATTTGGTTCCTACTAGTTCCCAGCTTAATAAAAACTCCAGGAGTATAATCAACAAGTTTTCGATGGGACTACAGCCAGAAATAAGCATAAATGCAGCCTATCTGTACTAATCCTGTCACACAACTTAATAAAGGACACATCAAGTGACCACTGTTCTCCACAAAGTGTGTTGTCCAAACGGCATTAGACGTATACATAACTGATCCAGTGGAACTCATCATTTAACCTTTTGACAAACACTGCCTTTACTTTGTTTTTACCTACACAAGACTTCTGAAAACTGCTTTTTCTATAATGTGTATTCATGTTCTCCAGCCTAAGACACAAGAAAACCAACCAAAAAGATGTGCATTAAATTCAAGATGCGTTTCATCTACTAACTACAAGCTGCTACCTTTTCCACAGAAAGATTGATCTAACATAATTTGTTATTAATTAGTCAATTTTTCAATTTTATCCCCAGCTGCTTCCAAATAATTCAATCATTCACCTGATATTTTCTCCAGAAACTAAAATGCTCCTATTTCCTACTCTGTCTTACCCTGTTTTAAAGAGAAATGGGCACTGTATTTGCCCTTTTCTTGTCTTCTAGAGGCTGCCATTTATCCCAAAGCTCTCAGCGACAGCCACTAATATAATTAAAACATAATGATCTCAGTGTTATGAATTCTACATTACAGTGTAATAATAAATAAAATAAATGCAAACAATTAGAATCTTATTCAGCTCTATACTCTTTATGTCCTTCTTTTTCCTATTTTAAGCTGCTACCTTACCATTTAATGCAGATATTAACCATTAATCTTACACACTCAGGCTCTCCAATTAGTACTTTGAAATACAACTCTCTCTCTTGTCCTCTCACTCCCCAAAGTGAAATTCAATCAAATATCTCTTTTTGGAAACTGAGCACAGTGTTCTGAAGAGTTTGACATTATTAGATGTATACATTAATTTCATTTTACTGCCATGTCACAGAAGAGAAGCAAGACTGGAATGTAGATGAGCTAAGCAGCAGTAAACATACTCAAAAGGGGAGGATCACAACGTTAGAGAAAGGAAACCCTCCTATTGCCAGATTTAAAATTTATGCACAATACACTTGCAGAACTTCAGAAATTTAGGAAAAATATCCATCTGAGAGGTGGAACAGATCAGTGCAGATGATGACGGAGCAAATTAGCTCACGCCATTCAGTAATTTGAAAGAATGGCTTCAACTCTTAGCCCTTTTCTGTACAAATTTTATTTAGTGTGTTATACTACTATGAGCAGAATTTGCTGCTTTCCCTGCTATGATGGAACTATCCCTGCAGCTTAGGAAATCCAGCTACAGTGTTTGCTAGAGATCCTCCTACACCTTTCTGAAAATGGTTATTTACAGTTATGTATATTTTTTTTACAATTATTCAGTTTATTAACATCAAATATTCAACTTTGGGGGGCCTTATTTTATATACTGTAAAAGGTGGCCTTTAAGCAGAAGACTCCCTTATCCATAACAAACTTGTAATTCAGCAAGATTGTATATACCCTTATTGTGTATATATTTATCACATTTTCATTCCTATAGGCAAGCATTACAAAGATTCAACCAACTCATAGCCTAGAAAATTATGTCTTCTGAAAATTGGCTAATTGAAGGAAAATCCATACCACATATCATTTTCTTGTACAAGAGGCTGTTATTCCAAAGCAGAAAGCAAATTTTCCTCTCAACCTTTAATTTTCACAATTTCAGTAACAATATATCCTATATTTTTGCAGTGTGTTTTACAGTCTTTAAAGGCTTTAATTCAATTCTTCATGCACTAAAGGCTCACCACGCACATACACAGGATGGAAAAAAATCTTAAAAATACACTGAATGTATGTTTCTGCATTTTTATGTATCAGCCTACTGTGAAACTGCTCAACTGTGAAATCAGATGTTTTAAAGGCTATTTAACATTGTGAATTTTTCACAGAACATCAGCACAGTTACCAAGCACAGGATGCTTCTGCACCTGTTTTTAGTGGTCCTCAGGTTCACACACCTACCTGCATAACCCAAAAACACTTACTTTCTTACTCTAATCTGTGAAGAAAAGTGACGCCTGAGACTTACGAGGACACGAGAGCAATCTTGCTAAGCAGAACGGATTTCCCTACTGTGTTTACAAAAAGACATAAGACAATATATACAAAAAAATTTCATTACAGTCACAGTCTCTCTCATGCACAATAGTAAGAAAAACCATTAGATTGATCAGATATAATTTGTTCTCAGCAAATCAGTGCTGGTTGTTACATCTCCATTCACTGTCTTGATGTGCTCACAAATGGCTTTATTGTTTTTTCAAGAATCAAAGTTATATTAACTACATGTTTTTCCTAATTTTTTCCCCTACATATTCACAAGTTCACAGCATGCAAAGATGCTTGAAATAATAAATCGTTTTATCTTTTAATCTTTAAAATGTCCCCAAAATAAATACTTTTCTCTCTTCTTTTTGCAAAGACTTCATATCAGTGAGTATAAAAAGCAAAATGCTGTTATCTCCCAGCTGGAGAGTGACCTCTAAACTATATTCAACATATTTCATAAAACTGCTGAATCTTGGGGGAAACATCTGACCTCATATCAAGGGTGTTTGCATGCACTCAAAAGAAAAAAAAATAAAACAAACAAGCAAACAAAAAATATCAATCAACTGGGCTTTCTTCTGAGGTATCATATTAAACCTTACTGCATTTTAAAACATACTATCTAAATAGTAGTGCAAGAGAAAGGGAGGAACAGAAGAAAGTCACAGTTCTCCTGAAGTAATGTTTAGGTATGAGAACTAAAACTCCTACGTGAAAAATACAATTACATTGCTATATCTATAGGACTACCAAATTAGAATAGAAAAAAATATATAGAAAAGAAAATTAGAACCATCCTCTTGGAGGTACAAAATGTTCCATTAAGAAACTCTCCCATTATAACTCTACGGAAATGATAGTTGAAATCAAGCTCAGTTCACGAACTAAAATACAACTGCAGCATTTGGTAACATAGGAAATGTGCCAAAATTTCTTGGAACATTCCCTCTGTCATAATATTAAAGAAATGAAAAGTATCTACAATATGCAAATAGTAACAACCCAGCCAATGTTCTGCCTATGCTATTATACCAATTCATTTGTGACTAATGAAAAATCCACTGATGAATAAAACATACATTCCAAAAATAAAATAGTTATAAATAAATTTTAAAAATACAATTACCCTTCTAAAGTTGGTAGAGCATCTCCATTACATCTGGACATAGCAGAAGGTAAATGTCAAATGTACTTGACCTAGAATTGTTTTAAAAGGAATTTTTTTCAGTGCTCTCTGAATATAACTCTATTTACTACTCTGTAAATAATGAAGCGTCTGGACTATCAATAGTAGAAAATGACTGTGAGTGTGGTGTTATTAAAGATGAACAAAACCAGAGAGTCTGAGACTGCTGCATTATTATCACATTCGTGAAACCATTCAAAAGGCTTTATTTTTATAAAGAAATAATGTATATAAAATAGAACAATTAAAAAAAAATATTAACTCACACCAGGCAGCACATCTGCAGTTTTTGGATCTACCAATATTTATGAAACTCCATATTGCAGTACTGAACTTGCTTCATGCAAAGTGCAACCACAGAACCACTCATGTGAATGACTCATGAATAACCTTGAGTTCCTTAAACATTTTATGCATATTTTGGATCAGACCCATAATTCTGAATATTTACAACGGCTTTTAAGAAAACCATGTTTGTGGAGAGTCATATCTTGACATCCTGGTGCTAGGACCACTGAAGATAATAAATGACAATCTACAAAAATTGAGTTTAAAAAAAGACTTGCACAACATCTATTTTCAACCAAACCAGGACAAGAAAACTCCTTGTACCTCATTAACTTGAATTCTTCTTCATAGTATCATGCAGGTTGGACTCATCTAATCCAAATCCCTATTTGAATTAGGTCCAGCTGCAGCAAGTTGGACTGAAGTCCACAGCTTCTCTTAACAGCCTGGTTTAGTGTTTGATGACCCTTGAGTTGAGCCAACAAGATTTTGTGTTTCTATATTTGTCCTTTGCCTTTTATCCTTTCACTGCACATCTCTGAGAAGAGCCTGGCATCATTTTCTCTGTGTCCTAGGTAAATACTTCCTAATTTGGCCTGGAATGAAGTAGTCGTCCTTTGCTGCAAGAGAGCAGTGCTGATTCATATTCAGCACCACAACTCCCAGGTATTTTTCTGCAAAGCTGCTTGCTAGCCAGTTTATCACCAGCCTGTTCTGTTGCACAGGATTACTCCATTCCAGACGCAGGACTTTGCATTTGTCCTTGTTGAACTTCATGAGATTCCTATCAGCCCATTGTTTTTTGCTTGCAGCATCTTAGATATTCTTATACATGAGAACTTTCATTAAATACACATGACAAGGGCAGGAGGTCTGATGGTGTAAAACTGCAGGACAGGATTTCAGGATGTGTTTTCTATCCTTATATCAGGATTTCTACGCCAATGACAAAAATTCTATTTCACGATTAATGAGATTTCAGTGTTTGCTTCTATTCTGATGTTGTTCAGATTATAGAGATTAAAAATATCACTCCAGAAAATGGAGGACAAGGGATACTCAAACTGAAGTCCAATCTTAGAAACAAAATTTCCTGGGGAATTTATTCCAGCACTGTTCATTAAAACTATGCTGGCACATTCCTTAGAGGAATGTCATAACTAGCTCTCATCAGACTTGTAACAATTAGCCAGACAACAATTTAGATTTAATAGGGCAGAAACTATGTTCCTAAAGAAAACCAACAGAAAATTGCAAAAAAAAACCCAAAAAGGCACCTGAGCAGCTCAATACCATGCACGTACTTAGCTGTATTTGCAACCTTTCCTAAGCTTTTAAAATAATTCTCTTCAGACCATTAGGTTTCTTTTAGTGAAGGACATGTAACAATTTTTATAACACAGATGTAATATATAAAATTTGCACTGAAAACAAAGATAAGAAGGATTAGATTTTAGCAAACAACACAGGAAAAGTGTTGAACCAGAACAAAATATACAAGATACAAGAGCATAGAGCCTTAAAGAGAGCATTATTATTTATAAAATCCCATTGGCATGCGTTTACTGCATTTAAACATGCTAGTAGTTAGTTCAGACTAGCAATGGAAAGTAATTAAGACTGAAGACCAAAAAGGTATCTGAAAATCCTCTGTGAAAGAGCAGTTCTAACATCTATCTGAAGTTAATCAAAGAAGAAATCATCTCAGCACTGATGAAGAGTGAGGAAGAATGAATGATTCAGTGAACTAATGTAAATCAAAATCTTATAGCTGCCTTAGTGTTTTTCAAATGGAAATGAGGCTTTTTATATCAAATTGATTTGGATTCCAGAGGCAAATTGCTCACCCTGTTTCTCTGAAAGGAACTGACTGAAATTCATGAAAAGAAGAGTAACTTTACAACAGGGAAGGAACCCAGAAATTGCCTTGCATGCGTAGGAAATCAGAATAAAATTCTGATCACTCATATTACACTTTTCCAAATGAGGTGTGTATCACTGAAAGTCAGGTCCAAACATCAACATGACAACTGCAGTTCAGAGAAAGTACAAGGGCTCCTGTGTTCTTTATATAAGGCAATAATGAATATCTGGTATTTCCAAGGATATAAGCATTCATTTTATACATATAGTTTATTTAAGAAGCTACAAACACTACGTAACTCACCCATCAATAAGGAAAGAACCATTTATAAACTTACCTGCTTTGAAATGCAGTAAATATGTCTTGTTACTGTTGTCACTTCCTAGAGCAGTATAAATGAACTACTACAATCAACTTAATCCAGATTACTTTCCCATTACTGAATAGTTAAGAGATGTTAGACATTAAAGTATATGATTTAAATTACGTATCTTTGAAAGTTGTGCTATGATTTAATGAAATGAGATTTTTCCCACAGTAGTCCCTTCAAATGACTCAGACACATAAAATCTATACTACTGCTATAAATCCCATTAAAAAGACAGCCATTCTGTTTAGAATTTGTAAGTATCACAGACAAAAGTAAATCCACTTGGATTAGTAAAATTCAGTTATATGTGAGACTAGAAAGGTTGCTGTATTGAGACTGAAAATAAAAAAAAGACAAGAAGTCTAACAAATTAATGACTTGATATATTAACCTCATGTACTAGTACATCAGATATATAAACCTCTTTTCTCATTAAAAAACCTGAATATTCTCAGAACATCAGTATTCCATAACATATTTTACATTCCCACACTACAACAGCTCCCTTTCAGCCATCACTGAATTTAAATACTTCTGGTACAACAATTGTTGAGAAAAATAAATTCTTAGAGCAAGGAAAAGAATATTTTTCTCATGTGAACAATATTCACAAATTTCCTTGGCCACTTTCCCAGTTCATCTGAATAGGATTTCTGCTCTCCAGATATTCACATACAATGTAGTCCTTGCTTTTATGTAAGAGAAAATCCTCTTAGACAAAACCTGCTGGTAATTTTTGTAAGAATTCTTACTGTAGTCTTACAAGAAATATTGCACCTTTGTAGGAGTTAAACACTTAAAAATAAATAAGTGAAAAACGTAAAATGGCATCTCTTCCCTTGACAGAGTCCTATTTTGGACCTAATTCATTTACACACACACACACAGATGTCCTATTATGCACAGCTCCAGTGAACACTGCTGTATGAATGCTGGTAACATACACAAAGGAGAGAAGAAATATAGCTGACAGAAGTACTTCAGTTTGTGAAAGAGAAAAGAAGAGACAGCATCCAGGAAATTAGTTTTGTTAAGGTTACAACAATCAAATCCCAAATCAAATCCACAAATGCATCAAAGCAACCCAAGTTCAGTCTCAAGGTTTCATACTAGAATTTAAGTTTCTATACTCCTAATTAAGGTCCTGTTCAGAAAAAAACAAAACAAACAAAAATAAACAAACACCCAATTAACTTCAGGCACAAATTTAAAACCAACCCAATTGAGAATGAGATACAAGCCTATATTTCAATTAACCATATGTATAAATGTAACTGAAGGCAGCGTTAAGAGGCTCCTCAAACACTTTAATAAATGACCATGACAGAGCATAAAAAATAAACATTTCATTCTGTTCATCTGTGTAGTATCTGACAACAGAAATTATATGTGATCATGAAAAAGATATTCCAGTTTTCTCAAATTTCTCCAACTACTCTTAATTGCTGATATATATTTTTTAAAGTAAGGACATGCTTCAAGAACTTTGACTTTCACGTACAGATTTTATCTATATAAGAAAGAATAAGGCTAACAAGATCCCAAGTTATCTGTACACAATAAAGACAGGGCTATAATGCACCCTTCATGACCTTTACCTGTTTCTATATCTGTTAAATGCAGTGTGGAATCAAAGCCCCCACTGAGGATCCTTCTTCCACAAGACGACCACTGGGCAGCTCGAACAGCACAGGAGTGACAGGAGTATGTTTTTAAACAGCAGCCTGTATCTACAGCATCCCATACCTTAAGAAGAAGGATAAGGACAGCTTTATAAAGAATCACAGTATTTTTTTCAATGTACTGATAAGTAGCTACAGCAAATCATTGCGGTTGAGAAAGCTTTGCATTCTGGAGTCATACCAGCTAAGCTGAAAAGATTGTTAGAAATAATTGCATGGTTGATTAGAATTAGGGTATTTTATTAACAAGGCACAAATCAGTAATACATTTTTATAACTTTTTTATTTCTTAAAATGTCTACATTGTCTGCAATGGCAATTCATGTTATACTTTCCCATTCATAATGCTGTCCTATCTCTACACAAATATGTATCCAAATACATTTTACCTTTAAATAATTTTTTTCCAAATTTTTGTCTCTATCATATCTTGTTTTCCATCAAGTAAGAGGATTCCTGGCAGATTACAGCATTCACATCTGCCTATACATAGGTTTTTATTACATTTCTCACTGGGTGTATAATTTTAAGTGGAATTTTACCTTAACTTCACTGAGGAAGCAGATAAGAATATTATCACACAGCCACATGGAGATTTTTAAGGATGGGTCTGAGTCCTCTCATTTTTCAGTTTCTTCTGGACAGAATTAGGTTGATGCTGAGCAGTTCTGAAAATCCTGTTCTACTAGTTATCCAATGGTTTTTAAGTATATAACAAGTAGCACTTTCAGAACATAAATCATCCTGCCCATATTTCAAAAAGGCACTTGTTTCCAAGTCATATATTTTAGAAAATACAACTACTTTAAATTTAGTTACCAAATATAGTTGACAAAAATTAAAAGCACATCCTTTTCCTAGTTTTATTTTTGCCATAGTTTTAAGATAAAATTAGAAGTTCGGCAACAAATGACCCATATAAAGATCCAGTATGATCACTTCTGTGGCAGAAGGCTAAATATCAGAGCTATTTTCCTATGAATATTCTTCTTCAGTAAAAGCTAGATTATGAAATACCTTATGATTGTACATTACAATACCTGTTGATTTGAATAATAAAACAGATAGTAAATGCTATAACCATACCTGTAAATCCTACAATTTCATTACTTCTAATATTAGTAGTACAAATAAATCAACACTTTGACACTGCTTCATGATAATTTTATTGCAGTTACTGTAAACCCAAGGCAGTTTATTGCTTTAAAGTCACCATTTTACTTCATGGTAGTTCTCTTTGCAATTAGTCATTTTCATCCTGCAAAAACATGCAGAATGAAAGCAACGTTGCCTATAAGCTTGGAAAGTTATTCTGAATATTGGCAATTCTAATCAATTTCTCCATTCGAAGATTTTTTATATAATGCCAGGAACAGACAAGGCAACTAACAAAATCTCAGCAAATTACATTTTTTTAAAATTGAGATGAAATTCAACCTTCATGTATGTTAACACAAGAGCAATGAAGTTAGTACTGAAAATACAATTAACTGCATGTTTGTGCATTTTAAAGGATGTTAAAAACAAAAACAACTTGGTAAATCAGAAAACCTAAGCAGATGTTTGCTTTCTTGAGGGAATAGCACAATTCACAATATAAGAGAATGTAAAGAGGGAGAAACAAGTGAGACTTTAGGTAATGCTTTTTTATCTTCAATTATATTTTCTTCTTACTGGACAAAAAGGACTTGCTGACAGTATCATTATTATATGATGCATACTCAGAAGAAAACATTCCATTATAGAAAATTATTTCATCAAAGGATCTTCTATCACGAAGCACAGTTCTGCAACGCAAAGCAACCAATTATCATTAATTACTTGAATAGCCAGTTAAGACTGGAACTGTGATGGCCATACCCTTAGTATTCTACTTTATTCATAAGAAAAGAAATCAGGAAAATCTTAATATTAAACTGCTTTTGAAAGTAAGTTTCTCTGCTTTAATGAGTTTTACCGATTGTTTTAAGTTTCACAGTATTAAAAAAGGGTTAATTGTGTCTTAGAGGCTTTTAATATAAGGAAGCTAATGAATGAATTTAGATGAAAGGAAAATAGGTGGTACATGCTTCAGATATTTTCTGTCATGTTTTAGTGATTAAGTATGAAAACTCAATTTTCCCAAGAAGGGTAAAGTAAAGCAAGTTCAACAACAGCACTTCTGAGTTCCTGCTTCATTAAAACAAGCTGCGTAAATGGAAAAAGCACACCCCTGAAAAAGCACATTTCCCTCCATTATGTGAGACTGAACAAGTGATCCACTCTTGTGGATGAGACCACTGACCACTCACAAGGGACAACTTTTACCATATTTCTCCCCATTGTTTTCCTTTCCATCAGCTCTTTTCTGCCCAGGTAATGGTGGTGTTTCAATGCTTTCTGGAATTAGAGTCACATAGGCAAGGCAGTCTTGACTGAGGAAATTCACTTAGTTTACTCCCAATTAACGTAAACTTTATAAATATTATAAACAGTAACCAGTCCATCCTTTTTCCTTATAAGAATCCCAAAAGCAATGAAATATGCAACTGTTATTAGAAAAATGATACATATTACCATATTACCTCACCTAAATCTGTAATTATTAACTAATTAATTATCCAATATTTGAAAGAAATAAACAGCCAAGACTCAAAGCTGTGGAATTAGCTAGCTATTTTTAAAGATTTTCTTCAATGTCTTTCTGGCATTAAGGTATCACGAAAGCTTTAATTGCATTTTTTCCAATTTTATTAAAATTTGCTTTAATTTGTCAAACTGGTTCATATTTCACTACTAGTTCTTACTCTTTTGTACTTCACTATTTATAACATTGCATTTCCATTTCTTTTCCATCAATTGCTTTCATTTCTTTTCTTCCCCTACTATAGAAAGTATGGTGATTACATAGTTATCTGCTAGGGTTAATATATGGGGCCAAAATGGCAGGTACAAACAGCCAAGTGACAAAATTATACTAGAGACTTCTTTACAGAAGCAATTTTCTTTTTACTTTCTCTGAGGCACATTGTAATTCAATTGCTCTTTCACCTTCTCCATATTATTTGGAAATAAAGGCTTTAGGAGTTGCTTGTTTTCCTCTATAGATTAGAAATGTTGTGAAAATACTGTAACCTCTATTTTAGGTAACACAACCAGACCTCCTCACCCTTGTGATCAAAAGTTCACAAATCACATAAGCAACTACACAATGTAAGAGATGAGATTTATTATAGATTATATGTTTCCAGGTCCTATTTTCTGACTGAAAGCTTTGAGGAAAACAGCCTTTTAAAATAAAGTAGTTTGGGTTGAAGATAATAAAAACTCTCTTGGTAAGCCACAGAAGGAAGCATGAGAAGATAAGCACTTGATATTCAAGTAAATAGCAGTCACACAAGAAGGTTCTGAGGTCTGCTACCCTATCAACCAGCTCATAAGACACAAAAGAAAGGCTTTTATCTTACTGACCATCCAAACTAGGAATTCATTCCTCGAAAAAAAGTCACAGTAACATAAACAGAGCAACCAAAGTAATAGGAGAACTCATCAAGCATAGGTAGCCTGATAAAATAGGAACTGAGCACATCTCTTTCATTGCCATTCTATGATTATCTGTAATGCATTTGCCTTCAAGCAAATTAGATTGCAGAAAAGAAAATCTAGCAGCCTGACTTTTAGAAAGAGAAAGGTGCATCTATTCAAACAGGCAGTCACTAATTGCACAGTGAACCCGAGAACAGTAATTCAATTGTGATAAATTAGAGGTTGGAAGCAAGTATGAGGAATTAAGCTGTATGCATTTTGAATTTGCATGCAAAAAGGAGCTACAGCAGAGCCAGTCAAGAATACTAAACAAGAAATTAATTTCTGGAGCACGTGTAATGAAATTAAAAACTTTTTAGTGGATGGATTGAAGTTAATTTCAACCTAACAGCCATACTAAAAGAATTCTTCCCCTTCAATTTAGCCAAGTTGTGCTATTCTTCAGTAGTTACCATCTTCCTCTGTCAATGGCTCCTAATGAACAACAGTAAGAAATAATTTCAAACTTCTAAAAAATGGCATTTAAGAAACAGCCCCGCTCAAGGATGATGTGGGATAGTACTGATAGTACAGAAAGTATAAAGAATTACTATGCTTTGACTAGAACAGATTATGTTCCCTTACAAAGCACACTCAGGTTGCTCCACAGACTTCTGAAGAGACATGAGCCTCTCCTTTCCATTTTTGGAACATCACTCCCTGATGTGTCTGAAGGAGACAAAACTGATTTTGTTTTTCTCCTTTGTTTTTTAACTGCAGAACTGAATTCATGTCTGAAAGTTGAACATGCCATATCTGCTAACATGCATACTTCAAGAGAATGGTACTCCCTGAACCATATTGCTTTTCTGATCTCATCAGTATCTAAATACCGTGATTTCTAAGAAATACAGTAGAGAAGGAAGTCCCACACTAACTATAGAAAATCATGTATTTTCAAGTTTTCAAAGCAGGCTCAGAACTGTACTTTAAAAGGTTCTTTGAAAATCAGTGGGCCAGAGGGCAGAAATAGTCTCATGAAAAAATTATAAAAAGATATCTTCTGCTGCTACTGTTTCTTCAGATTCTCCACTTGGATGAGGTGCGGCTTTGGGCAGGATTGCAGGAGCTAAAAGTGCCCTTTGGGTATCTCTAACCAACAGCAATAAGGAGTCACTCACATAGACAGGTACATTCTTTTGTTCATAAAACTGAGGCAAGAGAATGCCAGAAAGAAAAGCAATAAATAACCAAGCATCAGATTTGGTAGGTGTGCCTAAGTCTCTCCAGCCACTGCGTGACTGAATAAAAAAATCTGATCTTGAATGTAATATATATAAATTCCTAAAGTAACTACAGGAATATTTAGAAATATTCTAGAAATATTTGTTCTTGTTTCAATTTACGTCTTAAAATATTGAGCTAAAGATCATAGTTGTAGTATGAAGTAAAATTTGTTGAAAAATTACAAAAGAGATCATTTGCACTTTTTTGTCTAAACATGTAGTTAAACCGTGTAAAAACTAACAGCTAAGCTCCAGGAAAACCTATGAGCCAAGG